CTTGAAGAACTCATTACTATGAGACATAAGTAGCATAATTCAATAGTACTACATGGCAAAAATTTCCTTTCCCATACACACCATGGTCCATTCTCCAAACAAAGACAACAAAAGAAGAACTTACATTTTAGTTAATGCATAACTGTCTTCACCTGCCAAAGGCAGAGAGCACCAGATTTTGTCATTAACTGGATTAAGATACTGACACCAATCAAAACAGGTACTGGCCCAAGCCCACCACCACCAGCCCATTCAATACTCATCTCGTGCTACATGTGAACAACCATTCACAAATTCTAATTGAATTAATTTCACATTTTCTAACAATAATTCAAATTCAAATTCTAAGGGGTCCTTCACCATTATAACTATCACGCAATATTGAAGGTCTAGTATCTCCTGCATTGTGACAATTCAAATTGTCTCGTCACTTTAATTCTGCTACAAATTCAGATTCTGGTTCAATATATAGGGGCCACTAAATTTAAATTTAATTTTCTAGTACTGGATTCTTTTTTTCCTATGGTATTCAATGTTGAAGTATTCAAGTATGTAACATTTATTATTTATATGGGCCAATTATTTTTCCAATGTAATCCTTTAATAACAAGGTTGAAAATTATCTCAAGGTTGTGAATTGTTATCATATGGAACCATATTTTAATTAAAGTTTGGGTCCAATTTTTGGGGGCCTCTTTCTTTATAGAGTGTGTAAAGGACAAGAAATTGTGACAAAAATCAGAAGATTAATAACAACACAAAAAACAATGTGAATGCTGTGTAAAGGCCACCGATTTTAATTTTTAAAGACTAGATATATCACATAGTAAATAATTAATTAATATCTTCCTGAAGGGGCAATTAATTAATTAATTTCTTCAGAACGATTGTTTGCATATAATTGATTATTGATGGTGGTGTATAACTTGCTCTATCATTAACACGTTCTTTGGCATTATCTCAATTTCGGCAATGGCATCTGTATTTTCATTTCTTTGAATCTAACTTCGATTTGACCATATTTATTGTATCTAAATCTATATACTATTCATGCATAAACAAGCCAATTAATAAAAAAGAACTCTACGGTTTTCCATACATGTTTTTTAAATATATAATCGAAGTTGTTCTAGATCAAAGGTCGAAGTTAGTTTCACATTGTATAAGTATAATATATCTTGTATATGTTAATAGTAAGTTGTAATTGGAAGGGGTTGAAGTCACTTGATCTTAAAACTGAGTCTTGAACTAGATTAAATTGGTGGTGAAACTAAATAAAAAGTGTAAGTTGTGCAAGTTTTACGATTTTTAGAATTTTTAGAAAAAGTGAAAGTTGAACAACTTATCAACGAGAGGACTCATACATCTATCACCTTAAGGTTTTAAGTGAATATGTAATATCTCTCTTTCACTTGTTTGTGTAAGTCTTTGACCTTTAGATGAATGTTTAATCTAATGAGAACGTTTTTCCCTCATGATGACCCATCCGTGATATAAGAGTATGGTTCGAGTAAGGGAACGACTTCTTATATTGAAAGTCTTTCTGATACGATAGTGGTCAGACGACGTGTCTCATTGAAGTACTCATGATGAAATAAGGGTGTCTCTGTCAACACTGGTACAAGTATGTGGATGAAAGAGCATCTGTTAATTGAAGGGCTTCATAGTGGATGGATTCACACTTGAAAGGAAAGATTGTTAAGAAACAAGTGTAAGTCTCATTTTGCTTAGAAAAGTGGAGGTTGGACACTTTATGTAAGTTTAGATTGTTCCTAAGAGGGGGTGAGTTGTGTATTTTAAAATTTTCTAGTTCTTAGATATAAGTGTATCTATATTTCTGATGGTTAAGTGATGAAAACAGTAAAATGCAGAAGACTAAAGAACACAAAGGGATTATACTAGTTTCTCTCACAGTTTGAGAGTACGTTAGTGTCATTAAAACATGTAAGAGATTTTACTATTTGTTAGAACCTTGTACAAACCAAATCCTTTATACACAAGTTTCTAACTAAATCAATAAGGCAAACTACCTTATTGTGAGATATTAGATTGAACTCTATTGGATCGAAGAGTAGCTTCTGAGTCGACAGGATTTATACATGCCGCCAAAGTATATTCACATGCTGGTGTCGAAGACCTACATATGTTAGGGTTGTTAGTATTTTAAATTGGGTCCGTTTGTTATGTCCAATTGTTTAAGTTAACTTGTACCCTAAGTTAGTTTGTAATGGGTATTTGTGGAAAAAAAACTCATTAGTTTAATATGTTAGGTTTATTATAAATAGCATACTAGTCTTTATATATATATATATATATATATATATATATATATATATATATATATATATATATATATATATATATATATATATATATATATATATATATATATATATAACATTATTTGGTTACACTAATAAATTGCATCTATAACTTGTCAATTTATTTGGAGGTCGTATCTTGAATTTGAGACACAACGGCAGGAGGATAGTTTCATCCGGAGTGCAACAACATATATCATATGTTTTATATTGCACAAGAAATTATATTATGATACTATTTGGAAGCCTGTTATTCTCCAAAAGTACATGGAATAGTGTCAATTTTATGTGTCTAAGTTTGTTTAGAGACTTTGATAAAATAAAAAATATAGTTGGGGTTCCGCCGTTTTAGCCTATCTATATAGTTCATTATATAAAAATGCAACAAAAGACAAATGTACTTTTAATGGATGCAGTTTCTTACTTCAAGCAAGGGGTTGGTGGAGAATGGAGTCCCTTAGCCCCGTCAACAACCATTCGTTCATGTTCTCCTACGCAACAAAGTAAGTCTATAGCGTAAATAATTTATTATTTCTCTCTTTGCTAAATAGATGTACATAATTAATTATTTTTTTCATTCTTTTAGGTATTGTGTAAGGGGTATGGATTACAGCAAGAATCCAAGACAAAATGTCGCTCTATATTGTAATATTTTAGATCACCTTGGCCCGGATGATGTACGTAGTACCTCTAAATTTTTCTTCTTTTAACTTATTTAGTTTTAAAGTTATTATTATTTTGATTTAAAACATTTTATCTGGAGACCATATTTGGGTTTTGACCATGAATCCAACCTCGAGGATGCAGTAGTTTGGACTGCAAAGACTGCAATCATACGGTTCAACGTTATGGAGATGCACCACAACGACCGTGTCAAGATGCAATTCAGAATGCATCAAGAAATACCAGGCGATCCAACTTGTTTGTTACCTTGGCATCTCAAAAGGGTCGACCCTCAATGGAGTCTTAATAATTGAGAAGATTTTGCTCCAGAATGGTGTTAGATGTGAAAGAGGCGTCACCAACATCTCTTACAATTCCTTGTTTTTCTCACCCAGAATAATATGCGACACACAGATCATCATCTTGATTGGTACATATCGGTTACTAACCCTGAAATATTTGTGTCTGACCCGAGGTACTTGATCGACCCACGCACACAATGGGCGCAATCCTCAAATCTCCAACAACACTACCAACAATCATACACCACCCAACAACAACCCCAACATCAAACCCAACACACATCAACCTCCCACCAAACACCACAACGATACAAATCCACAAACATCCAACCCCAATCACAACCTCAATACCAATACACTCATATGACCCACACTTAACCTCAATACCAATACATTCATATGCTCCACAGGCAATTACAGTACTCTAAACAAAGACCATACATCCAACATCCCGATGTGGGCTCGTCATCATCTCCCATTAGCTTAAACATTAGCCTACCAGAAGAGTATTCCTCAACCGACCCAACATACCATCAACCATCACATCACCATAGCACCCAACAATCATACGGGTACCAAACTCCACACACCTATTTCCTTTTTACCCCTCCTATTCAGAAGACCAGTGCTATCGACCAACTATGGAACCCAATCCCTCACCAAGACGACCAAACAATGAGAACATGGGTAACCGACTGTTCGAAAACGGGACTTCCAGAGATGATGATCTGATGAATTTCATGGACGCTAATCGCATTGACTACGCGAAGACATCAACTCAACCACAACAGGATGGGCGTAGAGTGAGAACACGAGTTGGGCGAAGACGCGGTTGCAGAACCACTAATCGTTATTGACTCTCAGAGGAACAATAAATAATATGTAACTTTTATTTAAATTTTGTAATTCTTTCATGATTATTGAAAATCAAAGTTTCATTATGCAAAATCGTTTCTTTATTGTCTTTAATTTTAAAATAAATAAAAAAATAACCCTCAAATAACACTTAGGCGCCATGAGTGCCATCTCACTTGACACCTTCATACAAACATTAGGTGAATGCGTCAATTTACCTGACTCCTGCATGTTAATCTTTTCTGAAACATGATTATTGTGTAATTTTCTTTAAATTATAATTATTTATATATTTTTTTAATATCCTTTTATTACAAAAAAAAATTCTAAAAATCACATTTAAATTTGAAAACTACACATTTCAACATGAACTAAAATTAATTATAGAATCAGAATCAATCATTTTGTAAAAAAACCAAAAACCTCACTATCATTAAAAAAAAATTGATTCTTCCCCTCTAGAATTACTTTTGTCCCTTCCAAAAACATGCACAAAGAAGTAGTAGATTATTTGAATCAAGTAGTACAAAATAATAATAAACGCACTCATTGATATAATTTTTATTTTTTTATCTTTATATAGTTAATTACTATTTTATTATTACATCTAAATTAGTTCCTCATAAAATGCCAACAGTCTCTGTTATGATCCTATAGGCCCATCTCATGTTCATAGCTAGTCTTTCATCATTGACGACTCATCACATCACTGGGAAGACCCAACAGACATACTCAGCATTTTAACTTCTCCCTCAACAAAAAAACATAACAAAAAAAAGACTATTTTTCTTTTCTTTTTCTTTTTTTTCTTTTTGCATTATGAAATGGGAAAGTTGAAATTAAATTAACTATGAAGAGTTTAATAGAGACTTTTCTTAATTTTGATCCTCTTTGACAAAGGCTCTGGTGAAGATGATACTGAAACTGTTGCTGCTACAGCCCATGAATCATTGGAATTTTCACAGCTAAATGACACATCCATTACACCATTTGGACTACTTGGAATTGAGTCAAATTTACGTTTGTTCAATTGATTCTCATTCTCTTCTCCATATTCTGACCAAAGTTTCATCATCAGCTTCCCACATTCATCCACTTTTTCCTATAATCATTTCACATTAATCAATATAATTAAAACACTAATCATAGATTCAAAATAATTAAAACACTAATCATAGTTCATAATAGCTTAGAAAAAACAACATAGTAAAACACTTACTTTGTTGATTCCAAGAATATTTAGAAGCTGGTTTTTGTATTCATCTCCTAAACTAGGGTCAACACTGTTGAAAACATGAATCATTGCAGCAGTTGCCAAAACAGAAGGTAGATAACTCATAAACTTTGAATCTGCAATCATGTATAAAAAAAATCAAAATTTGTGAAGAGAAAGAGAAGATAAGATAAGAGTAATAATAGATCAATGAAGAGTGAGAAACTCACCTGATCTAAGGACAGAAAGAACAACATCTTGACATCTATGAAGAAATTCCCAACAAAGAAGATCTTTCAATCCAAGTCTTCTAATCATATAATCAATAAAAGAAAGAGGTGTTGCTGGATTCATCTTCCACCCGAGTGTTGAAAGAATCAAAATCTCCATCTTTTTTATCGTCTTTGCTTCAAACAAGTATCTACTTTCCTCAACCTATAACACAGTGAAAACAACAAAAATGAGAAACATGTTTTGTGTTTTTTTGTTGTTGTTGAAAACAAGAGTTTAGATGAATGAAATGAAACATACTTGAAGATCTAGTAAAAGAGGAACTTGGGTTTCTTCAAGTTTAGCAGCAAGAGAGAGAGAAGCAACAGCAGAAAGCTGAGTCATCCATGGCTTGTCATTCTGAAACCGGAAGCTGAAGAGAAACCTATCGAGGTAGTTGACAGCAAGAACAGCTGTGAGAGGTGAGAAGGAGTAATGAGCATTGACTTTCAGAATCCAGTGAATGGATTCTCTACGCGAAGATTCCAACACAGGGTTGGTTTGGAGGAAGATGTGAAGAGGGTTTTGTTGTTCTTTGGAGAGAAGTGATTTGAGTTCTTCATCGTCCCAAAACATGTCGGTTTCTAGGAACAAAGATTGAGTAGAGTTTGTTATTGTGTTGTTTAAGGAAACATTATTGTACTCGAATTCTAACTCATCTTGTTCCTCCCAGTGTTCTTCGGAGCAGTACAAGGTATCAATGAGGAAAGTGTGAGACATGTTGGATATGTATGAGATCTTTAGTTCAATTGAAATGAAGCATATTGTTTATCCTTATTGAGACAAATTGGAAATGGTATAGAAGAGATTGGGAGGAGGGAGTGAGTGGGAACATAAACAAGAGAGTGTTGTTTTATTTGTTGGTGAGTTTCCAAAAGAGAAACTAGTGTGTTTTATTGGGAGAGTGTTGTGTTAGATAGCCTCCCCTAGAGGTGTATGAATCATGGGCCATGGGTGTTATTTACTCGACACGTGACTAATGTACCCTATAATTTATGGATCCCTTGTCCATCTTTGGATTAGGATTTCTTGCAACAACAAGAGGATACTATAATCGATTTCGATCGTTGGATTTTAATTTAACGATCGAAATTGTTTTAATTAAAAATATGTTGTTTTCACATGTAATTGTGTAATTGTGTGTATTGATTATTATTGTAAATCTTATAAATTTATTTTCAAACTACAAATTGTTTAGATTATCAAACCAAATTATAAGAGTTTGTTTTAGATCATAGAGAATCCTTTTTATTTTAAAAATATGATTAAGAAGATTTTTATAAGATTTTCTTATGGATGTAAGCGGTTAAGAATGTGTTTTTACATATATTTGGAGGAGGAAAACATAATGCTTAAGAAAATTATAAACATCTTTATGACTTCTATATTTGGGTGTTGATTATAATATTTTATAACTAATTTTATTTTATTTCTCAAAACATTTTCAAAAAATATTAAGTTTATCGTGAAAGATTCACTAAAGTTCCAATCACTCGATTAGTTGAAGTTTTGGGAATAAATTTATAAATGTTGTTTCTTTTAAATTGATTTAATTATTTTTGTCTAGCAAGAGACCAATGCTTATCGACGATAGCTTCGTCAATTCACTTTGCCTTAATTTTTAAAATAAAATCCCCAAAGTTACATATCTTGATAGCAAAGTGTCGAGTGGTAATTCTCTTAGAAATATCTCAAACTATATTTTGGATAGGACGTTCTTAACTGTCCTTCATTCCTTCAACATATTTTGATGATCTATATAGGATCTTTTTCATTTAGATCTCGAACTCTATCTTGATCTTGATCGTGTTCTACTTCTTGTTTTTTATCTTTAATCTCTAGGTTTGTCTTTTCCATAATTCTAGCACAATCAACGACCTCGACTTCTACCTACTACGATTAGTTCAACAATAGTAATATGTATAAGTTCTTTTAAAACATATATATTTTTAAATATTTATTTCAAGATTTTTAAAGATCATATATATAGAAGAATTAAAAAGTTACTTTATTACTTTTTTCCCACAACTTACTTAAAAGGAAATTGTGCTATAAAACTTTAATCAAAAGAATAATTTAAGTGTAATATTTGGGCTCTTACCAAAAGTCACATATTTAACAATAATGCCTTGTTGTTGCTATAAGAAGAGATTTCTCTTCTTGTAGAGGTGAAACAAGAAAACGTATTCACTTCTTCATTTGTATGACTTGAAGAGCATATGTCGATATCATGTTTTGAATTCAAGTTATCAAGCACATTTACATCACAATTTGAATTTCCGACCTTTGATACCAAATTATTTTGGATCATTTGATGTTAGTGGAATACATATTATGACCAAACATCTTTCTTTTTTTACGTTAAAATTGTTCTTTATAAAAATGCGAGGAATTTTAGATAAAATATAACATAACAATATGGCCATCTTTAGTACATTAATTACATTTTAGAGTTTTGCATTTAGATATTTGTTGGGTATCGGAAATATTGTTAAATTTTTTATCATTCTTCTTAGGTTCATAACCAAGACCACTGTTACTGGAAGACACTCTTTGGTTATCTAACAAAAGATTCAAGTTGTCTATTCTTTTAGTGAATTTATCAAGTATGCTTTGAAGATCATCAATTTTATTTTTGAAAGTGTCTCATTGATCACTCTTAATAGATCCATTTAAGACTTCGTGAGAAGAGGATGAGTTTTTAATTAGATCGTCTTGTCTCTCTTTAAGTCTTTTTTTATTTCTTCCAATAACTTTTTATTTTTCAATCCGAGGGAAAAATAATGTCTTTAGAGGTAGAGACAATTTGTCCTATTTCATTGATTTCTTTAGTTAGCTTTTTACATATGTGAAACAAGTCTTGATATGAAAAATAAGAGATTATCTTATATCCTTCATGATTTTCCATGAGACACACATTTACTTCTTATTTGTCAGAGTATTTCACATAATTATCATTCCAATATATGTAACATTTGCTTCTTCCTTGTTAGAGCATTTCACATCATAATTATTTTTGCAGTTTTGTGGATCTTCTTTAATTTTGAGGACGGTTTGGTATTATGTGCCATTCCTTTTCGCATTGGTGCCATGTGAGAATAAATGAGTATATTTCTTTATTTTGCTCTTGAAAACTTGAAGGAAAAAAATTTGTGCCTTTGAAACTCTTTGAATTTTTGAAATATGAGTTTCATGTATTTATTAAACTTATTTTGATAGTCTTTATCTTCTTTCATATCTTTGATGTTAGTAGCATTTAGTGAAATATTTTTCCTCTTATTATTGTCATATTCTTTGTCAACAACAAGTCTCTTAAGCTTTATCTCATGTTCGAGCAATTTACCAAAAAGAATGTGTGTCCATGGTTGTTAAATCCCTATATTCACAAATCGTAGAGACTTTAGATTTCTAACTACGATTTAGGCATCTGAGAATTTTTACAACCAATTTCTCATTTGAAAATGTTTTTTCTCAAAGTTCTCATATGAATCACTGTTGTATCCCAAAATTTACCCTCTCACTTATAAAGAATTTACTCACAAGATATCCTTGACTCAAGACTGCATTAGGGTTTGATCAGCTCAAGACACCTCCTTAGGCACTGATGACCAAAATCAGGGTTTGAGTTTGCACAAGTATTTTTGAACTTCCAATGTCCCATGTGACTTTCATGGATCATTATGGACCCCCAAGATTACTCATGTCAAGTTTCAAGCCTTGGATCACACTTTTGCTCAGTCAATTGAGCAGTTGAGCTAAAAATCAGCTGTATTGGGGAAAAAGTCAACCATGGCCAGTTTACAGTCAAACTTCATAATTTTTAATCCACATCAATATTTTAAACTCATATGATCAAGTTTGGACCACAATTCCTCAAGAAATTTGATCAAATCTCCAAAAGGGCAAAATGGTCAAAATTAGGGTTTTGACTAGGAAAGGGCAATCTCTGATTTTTGACCTAGAAAATGGTCAATTGGTTTAAGTCATGATCTCAAGAGTACAATTGCATCATTTTGACCTAATGACATGGTTCAATACATTGCAAGTCCATTGGATTGACAGATGAATTTTTCAATAACTGATCAAAAGTCAATTGTATACTGAAAAGTCAAACTTTGACTTTTTGGTCAAATTCAAGTGCCAAAGATCATAGTTCATCAAAACATGTCAAAATATGAAACTTATTTATCAAGAAATCAAAAAGTCAAGATTTCATTTTGAAAAGTCAAAATTTCTAAACTTAGAAAATTTTCTAAGTGTTGGAAATTTCATATTTTTTCACAACTTTGAACAAATTTTTCACCATGATGCAAGATGATTCAAGAGAAACTTCCAACATGAAGGTTGTAGATATCCATGAAATATACAACTTTTATATACACAACTCCTTCCAAAAGTTCTTGGATCTTAAGTTATAATTTTATGAACATAGGGTCATGAAACAAAACACTTAGTGAAATTTTGCCCTAATTTGGTCAGGATTTTGACCCGACTTCATGGAACTTTTTCATATAGTTCCAAGGGGAATATTCAAAAGAAATTCAAAGATGGGTTGTATAGCATATTTAAATCTTTCCAAAATGTCCAATAACTCCTTGAGATCATTCTTTAGTAGGGAGAATCGAAGAGATGAAGTTAGGGTTTTATCACTTTAATTACAAGTCATTTTAGTGATGAACAAAATTCAAATTCAAACTATGCTGCATAAACACTACTTTGCAGGCCTCAAACATGTTAGGAACTCCATAATTAATGGTTTACACAGCTGTTATAGGCCTCACTTCAAGCATTCAATGCATGGACATGCTTTATATCCATTTTTGGAAGAAAGGTCACATTGCCATTTTGATAAAGTGACTTTTTGTACAAAACTTGTTCTTGAGCCTTGCACTTGTTCTATTCTGATCAAACAAGTCCTATAACTCATGAGAAATGTTTCAAACACTTACAATCACCCATCCCATGCTTGTACCTCTTCTTGAAACTTGTTTCCCTCTTTTCTTCAAAATCAAGTAACCTAGCCAAAAGCTAGGAACTTGTACTTCTGATTGTCCAAAGCTCTCGAACACTTTTGTTTATACATACACAAACCTTAGACCACAAGGACATGAATGCTCAAGCCTTTAAAGAACCTAGAACTCAGAATCACACTTCACACTTCCATTTTCACACAAACTAACCAAAAACTTGAAACTCATAATCTACTCGTGCATTTCTTAGCCTTTTGGTTTCTAAAGTTTCTAAACATCATATAGAGTTGATCCCACACCCTGTTATAGAACTGTAACATCATTAACACCATTCTCTATTTCTAAAAACAGAGCTCTGCACATTGACATCTCCAAACCATTTCAGCCATCCATTGCTCAAGCTAATCATTGCATTAGCTTCCTGGGACCTCAAGGAAGCTAACCTGATCATCACCATCACTTGAAACAAGCTCAAACTCAAAACATGATTTCCAGTTTTGAGGTAAGTTTTCTAACTTTGGAACTCTTCATACAGGCATCATCAATGATTTATTTATGAACAAAACATGTAAATATCATTGTCCTAAAGCTAACCATGTCCATAGTTTCCATTAATTTTGCTTGAGCTTAGAGAATTTTGAAACTGAAACTTCTGAGGTTTTTAGGGTGTAGATTAGAGCCATTAAAATTCATGCTTATCTTTGATCTATAGTTTTAATGCTTTACATTTCTGAAACCGTGAGAAAATTT